ATACCCTTATGTCACTTGAATGCAAAAATCTTAAACCTATAGTTAAAAACTTTGTTTCATCACACAAGGAGTATAATTTGGTTATAATTATGCCTATATTATCTCAACATTGCCATCTAGTATAAGCTGCTCTTGTGTATTTTCCATCTCTGATTTCTGCAAATGGATTTTGAGTGATCTCTGTGACCTCTTCATAGCAATGTGGAAAGGGTTACAGTAGCTTGTTACCTGTCTCTATTTTAGAGTGTGTAAAATATGTTGCCAACAGAGTAGATAGTCTTCACTTGCTCCAAGAAGATAATCTATTGTGATTTGACTTACATTTGCGTTTCTTTTGGGATGTCTTTGCTGCATAGCTGTAGGACTGTTCTGCAGTAGAGTGAAACAGGCTTCTACAGAAGTTTTTACCTGGATGTGGCAGTTCTTAGACTCTGTGGTCTCATGCAAAAATCTTTCTTGCATCTGGTACCTGCATTCCACACATAGGTGGAATATATGAGTGTAACTATTTAAAGCTCAGCCTTTGTTTAACGTCGTTTCTATTTGAAGTTTACAGGATTCTCATTTGGGAAAAAATTTATAAAGGGGCTGAATTTTTCTGGACACTTGGAACATCAGCTAACATGGAAATGTACCCCATGTCATGAACCGAATTACTTTTCAGAGTAGAGTATCTCCTGCAAGAGATTGCTTCTGAAAGATTGGCTTACTTGGCCTAGTAGAAATAAGGCAGAAGTGCATATGGCTGTCTTACAAACACATGGAAAAGAGGGGGAGGTTATAGGCTAAAGGACAATGCTGGCAACAAAAAATGAATATAAATTTCTGGTGGTCGTTTTCCAGCAGGGAAGAGAGGCTTTCAAACAGATTCCTGTAGTTTTATCTTCAAGTGGAGTTAGACTAGCTTAGTAGACTTATATTGCAGGGTTAGAGATAGGCATTCCTCTGCTATCCACAATTTCCCTTCCAGCTCTGTCTTTCATAAAGCACGTCTCTGAGTTGGTTGAATTATATGCTGGGATGGCAAAACTGCGAATCAGGATGTAAATGTGCGTTCCATGCTTCCTTCACAGGTTATAGGTATTTGATCATGAATGCCACTTTGGGAATACTACATTTTACTCTCCACACTGAGTTTTTAAGTAAGTTAGGCTCATCTTTTACAGATATTTAGGCCACACTCGGGTGAGCATGCAACCAAAGCCTAGAAAAGGGCATCCCTCTCTGATCATGCTCTAAGATACGCAATATTAGGAACATTGCTATGCCAGCTTTCTTTCACAAGGCGTGCTGTATAAAGAGTGTCTGTGTGTGGGGCAGAACTTGTTGCGTTGTGAAAGTTTCTGGAGAACATGGTTGAGAATACTTTCTCATATATTGGATATGCCAATTCATGGACAGGGTTTGTGATCTGCAATGTGAAGTCAGTGTCTTGGGTTTAGAGACAGCCCGCGCTACGAACATGGTGGTGTATCTCGTAGTGTATGTAAACAAGCAGTTTAAACCATCTCGCCATTTGCTGTGTGATGCGAGAGTCATTAAGGCATTACTGAGTAGCTGAAATACTTCAGGTTTGAACCTCAACTTGTCTCTGGTGATGCGTTCAGTAATACATACCTGCCATTGTCAGAATTTGATTGTTCAATGTCATTTAAAAACTATTGTGTGTATTTTATTTCTAGGCCAAAGCCATTGCATGAAATTCCAGCCTTCTACTGCCCTGACAAGAACAAAGTGAATTTCATTCCTAAAAGTGGCTCTGCTTTCTGTCTTGTCAGCATCCTCAAGCCACTTCTTCCCACACAGGATCTCACACTTAAGGGCACTACACACAGCCTGACTGTCTCCTCTGGCATGACATCCAGTTTGTTACAGCCCATTTCTATGGCCTCCTTGTCTGCAAACACAGATCAAGACAGGATCTCTCGTGGAACAAGTACAGTAATACCACAGACCTCTATACTCCAGCAACCAGGACATATTGAGGAAGCTGAAGGATAGATTTAGATTGTCGTGACGTTTTTCTGGGCAACTACTGGGAAAAAATTGGAACCAGTTGACTGGACCTTTCTGATCATGCTATTTGCATTGTTTTAACAATTTATGGCACTGTCATAACTGAACTGTTTGTTTAATTGACAGTTTGGTAGCACATTGAGAAGTTTGGGAGGATGCAGCAGCTGATACTCTGTTGCTCTTCTGCTTTTAAAGACTTCGGTTCTGTTTCCTGCTTTTTTAAACACTGGTGGAAAGAGACTGTCATAATCCTTTGCTGTTTAAAGGACCAGTTGTTGTGATTCTGTGCGTACTTTGACTTTTTTCCCATTACAACAAAAATCTCAAGACCAAGCAGCTGATCCCATTTACCATTGTAATCTGCAGAGGAAGGGGCAATCAGATGGTTTTGCAAGATGTCTTTTGTATGAAAATGTGTATTTTCTAACAAAAATTTGCCTTTTCTGGTGTGTAGCAGATGGTGTTTAGAAGACACTTTCCTGGTGATGATCCCCTGCCTCCCCTAACCCCCCTCTCCCTTTTTTTTTTTTAATAGGGAAGGTTCTTTTTTACTTGGCTGTTTTACAGCTACTGGGACCAAAGGATTGCTGAAGTGTTTCAGCAGTCTCAAATTATGTGACCTTGCTGAAGAGCCTTAGCCCTAAACAAAACAAGACAAGTTAATACATTTGAAACTTTTAAAACAGAAGAGTATCCAAAAAAGCAGTGTTAGTATATAGTGAACGATTGGAAGTTTGTGCTTCAGCTAAGTCAGATTCTTAAAACTCCTTCCTTCACAGAATTCCCACCACTGTTGGTTTATTGGCTGGAAAATTGCATTTTGAAGCACTTGCCCCAGTATTGTTCTATTTGTCCATGGCATTTTTGTGCAGCAGTGGGGGGGGGGGGGGGAAGTTACTCTCTTACTCGGTGTTTTTTCTTCCAGAAAATATGCCGCTTGCCTCTTACAGGCTTACTTGGCTACTTAGGGAGTTAGTCAGCCTGAACCGTTAATCACTCTTGGCACAAATTTACTCTGATATGACTCATCACTGTATTATAGACCCTGGCCACATAATACTGAAATATCTGTGCATGATTTCCTCCCTTTTGTCATAGCAGTGTTTTGCGTGTCCATTGAAGGTGATGGTTTGTCAGGCATGGTATCTGTTACATAGAAGTTTACAGCAACAGATACGTTCTCCCTTTTTGACTAGCATCTTAGGCTGGTATGTAAACCAGGATTTTTTTGATACCTAGTCTGTCCTGATACGCAGCTGTTTATATAGTTCCTTTGAAATTGTAATAAAAGATGAAAATAGGGGGGAAAGGCAATTGCAAACGGAAACTGTTCAGGAGCTTCAATGAGTTTTCTCATGTGTTCCTGGAGTGCATTACTTGGGTTTGAGTAAATACAACACAGATGTGCAAAAAACTGCAGTGATCTGAATACCAGTGTCGTATCAACTTATAAAATGAGTTGACCTTGTACTGTACCTCTTTTGCAGAGGTAGATTCAGTAATTTCAAAGTAGGTGTCATTATGGACAGTCTCTGGATCTGAATATTGTTCTCTTACACATGAGCAGTTCTCACTGGCTTGCATGTATATAGCTTCCATGGATCAGTTGCATACTCAGGTCCCCTCATAACTGCATCTATTTAAAGATGATACCACAAATGCAACAATCTTGTTCAGTGCTTAATTTGCTAAATTTGGTTGCAAACATTTCATTTAGGAGAAGAAAAACCCCTGCATACCTGTGCAGATAATAGTCATAGCTTTGACGTACATTTACTGTTCCTTTAAATCCTACTTAAATAACTATGATAGCAGTGCATTTACTCAGCAAGTAAGTGTAAATCACGCTCACAAGTCCTGTATTCATGAACAGGAATGAACCTTTTTTTAAAACATTACACAAAAATTCAGCCAATGAAAAGTGTTCCAGGAAGTATTAAAATATTGGACCGGTTAAATTAGCAAGCAAGCAGAATTTGGTTTACTGTCTTTCTTCCCATCAAAATAGGATGTGCAGATGGGACTAAAGAACTCTGTTTTGAAGTAACAGCTCTGATATACACTGAAGAAGTTGTTGAGGGACAGAGTTTTAAAATAAGTGGCTTTGCACATCAAACTGGTGGAGCTTGGCCAGTTGATAATTCTTTTCTTGATTTTGTGGATATTAATTAGTTTCCTCTGAAACAGTTACAGTGCAATCTGAAGTCTAAAATGTACTGCTTTAGATGGGTTTCTTTAAACCTGGTATGACTGGATTCACGGAAGATCAGATCATTCAGGTCAAGGAAGTGCTTGTAAGTCTGTTTTCTCTTTCTGTAACAGTAGTGTGTAAAGAGCTTATCAATGCCAAACTGCCTAGTGCTTTATTAGGAGATCTTAACTGAATGGTTAAGAACTAAAGGGCTAAAGTTAACAAATAGCCTTTATTACAGCCTTGAGACTTAAGTGACTTCACCAAAACTGCATTCTGATGTTTATTTTCATCACAGAGTGACTCTCCCAAATAGCAGTGGGCTTTCTTACCCTAGGACTTTCTTTTGCACCTGTTGTTGTAGTACTTGAGCATCTCTCTGGTCGTTTACGTTTTGTGTTGTTGGACAATGTACTGTACAAATTAGTGAGCTGCTCTGATAAAAACCAAATGTAAATGTGTGAGGCTTTTGCTTTTTATAAAAACAAACTGCATTCAGGACAACGTTCAGTCTTTTTTATGTACAGGACAACTCTACTGTTGCTGTGACAGCTCTACTTTATTATGAATCCACACTAAAGACTCAGAATTAAGAAAATACGACAGCTCTTGTTCTAAGACCAGCTTTTACACATATGCATACAAAAATTAGCCTTAAACTTTTTATGTGCTGTCTTGTACCATAGCAGAGCTGTTAGTAAATAAACTTCAAAATAGCTTTGAGAGTGCATGGAGCTTTTAAAAAACTCTTTTATATATAGAGTGGCATATTCAGGTTTTGGGGGTTGACCCATGCATTACTCAAGCACAGTTTTACTGAAAGAGTTCAAGTTCTTTTGGCATACTTTAAATCCTAACTATGCATAGACCTAGTCGGTTCCTTGATTGTCTACTGTGTAGCATAAGAAAAATTAAAGGTCTGTTTTTATGCACAACTTGACACACTTGATACTCTTGTTTTCTTGGTATTTTACACTTCTAGCCATGCTTAAAGGCTGGTGGCCATGTTCAGTAACACTGACAGTTGATTTTAAGATATGCTAAATGGTGTTCCTCTGGTTGTAAATTCTACATAAGTCACAAGGAAGGAGGTCATTGTTGTAATGAGTGTCTGTGGTGGCAGCTATGACTATTAGAATCCTTTTTTTTAAAAAGCTCAAGGCACAAGGAAAGAAGACTTTGTTAAAGTTTGACCTGCTTCAGCTATTCTTTCCTTACTTGGTGCCATAATCCTGTAGCAATGAATTTAAGTACTTGGAGAAGTAACAGATAATGCTTGAGTACATATTTATGAGTACATCTTGTTGTACATACAACAAGAAAGAAATTCTTGGTTGCACATACATATCCCAAGTGAGGAAAAAAAGGGACTGAAAATTAAATATTACATACTGTGGAAGTAAATGATTGCTGTGTTTGATTTGCATAAAGCAATAGCAGCTCTTAAATAGTATGTTTAGTCTCAGGGCTATTTTCTGGTTTGTTTAAAAATACAGTTTACTGGAATTCAGAATCTGAGATTGTTGGAAAACACTGAAGCTGAGCCTTTTGGGAAGAAAAAAACAAAGTCATATCCATTAACCTTTCTTCTGCCTCAGGCCTAACTTCTTGTTGTTTATTGAGTTTAATAGAAGTCAGTGGTATAGCAATAATTTCTTGCTGAAGTATTTTCTGTTCTTTCCTTGCCACTCTGAAATGCTAACTGATGTCTTCACAGTAGCTCACTGCCAGTGATGTCCATATTTCCTTCCTGAATGTTTTCTTGCTGTGTACCTGCCAGCTTCTGTGGGAAACTGATAGGGCAAAAGAGAATGCGTAGAAGGTCACCGGAGACTTGCAGTTACCAAGATCAGTGCTGCAGGGTGACTTCTTAGGTATCTTGGTTTCCATTTGACTCGCTGTACGCGTGCACATGTACAGTCTATGTAGATCTGCTGGTTTTGTCTTTATGGTTTGAGGGAGGACTAGTATTTATAAGAATCTTTTTGGGTTTTTTTACGGACAGACTTGCAGACCTGTTCTCATCCAGAACTGATGCGCACTTACACGTATCTCCAAAGCAAAGCTTGTGTGTCATTCTTACTTGTTCTCATGAAACTAATACAACCTGCAAAAAAGACCCTTGACATAAAAGCATCCAAACGCTTGAGAGTGTCAGGACTGTGCTTTCTCCATATAATTCCGTAGTTCAAGTATGTGCCCTTCATCAAATGTCATAGCGTAAAGATGTCGTTATGGCTTAGACCCAAACCAGGTTGACATGTATTAAAACAAAAACCTTCGCTCTTAGGGAAGATAATATAAGGTGTGCCCTTCCTATCCTAGGAAGGTGAAAAGCACTGTGGAAGCATTGGTTTCATTGTGATCAAAGAGTTCTTATGGAAGTGTTTCTCTGAACCTGGATATGCCGGAAAGCAGAATGACCACTTATTGCAAGATGTACCTGTATGTTTTCTTGACGTGAGTTCATGAATTTTCAGCAACTCTGAAAACCAGTTCTGCTCTTAGCGTTTTGTTTATACGAAGAATGACCTAGATGCATTGTTTTTAAACTGTTACTTTGCGTGTCAAGCAGGGAGAGAATGTTAGCTGTTCACAAGTGGTTTGTGAAATTCCAGTCCTGTACCCCAACTGAACTGCAACAGTCACTTTCTGAATGCTCCAAATATAAATGGAGTCCTGTTACTGCTTGCTTGATTTCATTGCATGACATCAGTAAATACTTAAGGTATGGTCTTTGTTTAATAGTTCTTCACTGGGATTTGTATTTGACTACAGAGACTTCTGTAGTGTTGACAGATCTATCTGAATTGCAGAAGAGGACTTAATGTTTCTTACATAAATTAATTTTGAAACAGCTCTCTTTGGAAAAATCTAGTAATCTAAAAAAATTAAAAACCTTTCTGGACACCTCATCCAGCCTAATTGTCAATGTACTGACAGTTAAAGAAGAATATTGCTTGGCTTTATTCTAAATTATTTCATTTATTGAAATGTGCAATTTTTGAGGGTAGCAGTCAAGGA